AGCCTCCCAAACCAGCCCGTGGGAAAAGAAAAGGTGTGGCCAAAGATGAACCCCACCCACCTCGTAACTCTGAAACCTGGAAGAAGCCCTACGCCCTGACCCGTGTTGCTAGTGATACTGAGTATGCTATCATTGGACCTGGAAAGACTAAGGCACCTGCTAGGGCTCCACCCAGTCGCCCCGCCCCTTTTGCTGCTCATCAGAAAAAGAAGTCATTGATATCACCTTATGCTATTAGTGAACTGAATGAAGACTCACCAATCAGAGGTAATTATTAATAATAATAATAATGAATAATAATGAGTGTCTTAATTAATTTTAATTTTTAGATAATTTAAAGAGAGACAGACAAAGGAAGATTGAGGAGTACCAATCTCAGTTAGAAGAGGTGGAGACTAAACTGACCCAGCTGGAACAAGAAGGAGTTAGACTAGAGACACAGATACGTAGTCAAGGAAATGGTAGGTCACATGACTTGAGTAGATATTAATTGTTTGATTGGTGATAGATGATGATGGTGATGACCAGTTGATAGAGGAGTGGTTTAATCTTGTTAATCAAAGGAATGACGTGGTGAAGAATGAAGCAGAGCTGGTTTATATGTAAGTACCTTGTACTCCTGTATTTCTGTCGTAATGAGAGTTGTAGCAGACTAGCAGTTCAATTAGGAGTACATGGCATTGTGGGAATTAACTACACCTCTTGGGAGCTTAGTTAAGCTTGTTCCAATCAAAATTGGATTTTTAGTTACTCAAAATCTGGCCAAAGTCCCTGTACAATTATTGTATGCCATAAATAAAAACGAGAGGATTCTTCCCATTTTAATGATATTGTTATACCTACAGGATTAGAGATTTAGAACTAATTGAACAACACAATATTCTTGAGCTTGAAATAAGAACAAGACTAAGTAAAGATGGTAGGTATTATGAAAAAGAGACGTTGTACATCTACTTATAAATAATGTTTCTTATTCTCAAGATTCACTGAAGACAGAGTTAGAGAAAGTTGAAGAAGCTACCATGATAGAGGAACTGGTTGAGCTGGTTATGAAAAGGGACAAACTTTTGTGGGAATTCGACGATAACAAATTGAGGTATGTATGATTATTTGTACTTATTAATAGTTAACTTTTTAATAGGGAGGAAGAGACTGTGTAATGTATAAATATTGTACATACATGTAATTAATGATTATTATTGTTTTTATTATTATTGATTGTTATTAATTATTATTAATGTTCATGATCAAAGTGTTTCTCTATTCTACAAATCATGTGTGATTTTTATGATAATAATTATTAAATATTTTATTTATCAATTGATATTATTATTATTATTATTGTCAGTTGCAGGTGTCTTAGATATAAATCCAACTTTCATTGGTAGTTTATAACCTACAGATTTGAATGCTTTCTTTGCATAA